TTTTTTTTTTTTTTTTTTTTCTCCTCCTTTCCGGGGGCTACATTTACTCCCGTATCCCATTAAAGTTGCCCAACGGAGGTTAACTCCATAAAATCTTTAATTGTATTTTATTTTATTTATTTATTTTATTATTGAAAATTTTTTTAAAAAGATATTTTCGTAACGCTATTAAACATCTAAATTAATATTTTTAAACTTTAGTCAAATATAACCTAAATACTTAATCTATTTATATTTATTACCAATTATAATTAAATTAATTTAAGCCAGAAATGAATTAATTTAACTGTTCTCCTGCTGATATAATCAGCATGCAAGTGTTGTTAATTATAGTTGATCAATCATACTATAACATTATAAATTACAAAAATCTTATTAAATTAAGTTTAGTTCAACCATGTTTTATTTTCAATTTAATTTCTATATTTTAACTATTTTATATTTAAAAACTAATTATAATTTATATTAAAAAAAGATAAATGTGAAGCAACCGGTGGGACCACCACATGGACACTCTGGTTTACATCATTGGTCACCTGCCCTGCGGACGAGTTAACGCGGAATCACGTTTCTCAGCCAATCACAGTTCATAGAAAGTTTACCCCAACTTACCACGAAACGCGGTAACTTAACCAAAATTTACCCCCAGTAAGACTGTAAAACAGAAAGCCTTTGGGTCATTGTCAATAAGACCATTGACCCCCGCTCCGTCCATTTGAAATTCCGGGAAGAAGAAAAGAAACTGTTGATAAAATAATTCCATTATTTTCTCTGTCTTCCCTGTAACAAAAGCCGTTAGGTAGAATTCGAATAAAGAAAAGAGAATATATTTTCTTTGTTTTTTTGAATTATTATATTATTGTTTTCCATGTTGAATTTCTCCTTGTCTTCTCATCTTTCAGTCTGCTGCTGCTTTGGATGAGAACAAGGTTAATGGTTTTCGTTTCCTGGTTAGTATAATAACGATATTTTGTTGCGGTGAGGGAAGAGAAGGTGAGCCAAATGGAGAGTTACTTGGACGAGAACTGGGATGTCAAACCGAAGAACTCATCGGAGGAAGCTTTACAGAGATGGAGAAAGCTATGTTGGATCGTGAAGAACCGTAAACGGAGGTTTCGTTTCACTGCGAATCTCTCGAAACGTTTCGAAGCTGAAGCTATTCGTCGCTCCAATCAGGTTTCTTTCTTTTTTTCAATTTTTTTTTCGTGAATTAAGTTCTTCTATTTCTTGGTTGCTTCTTTAGAAGATGTGTTTTTTTTTAAAGGTCTAAACGCAAGTTAAGACTATTGTTAAATGATTTTCCATTTCAGACGGTTAATCTGATTTAAGTTAACCAGATTTAGTCATCGTGACTTGCATTAGAGTGAAATCGGAGCAACAGGTCAAAGATTTAGATCGCGTTAGATTCTGTTTCGGATCCTGTACAAATTGCAACTCTCTAGCTTGTGTAGATATTTTACTATTTTGGGACGTTATTGGAATTCCTTGGGTTCGTCGAGGTAAGAATTTGTTCCTAAATTCAGAGGCTCCTAGTGCTGAAAAGCATCACACAAATATAGGCCCCAATTTCGGATTCAATAATTAGGTATTGGAATATGCTATGCTGGAGCTCATACTGTTTAAGAAATATATAATTGTGCTAGGTAGTTCTGGCAGTCAAATCATTTTTTACTTTCATTTTCAAATTAGTTTAACAGGAGTTTGGATCCTATTTTTATGGAGTTTTGTCAGAATAAAGTTGTTACGTTATTGGTGCTATGGTGTTTGAGGCATAGATTTGTTTTTCACAATTGATTAATTGCTTACTATATTCTTTCAGTGCCATTTCTTTCTACACGTTTCTTTAGGAAAAATTTTCTCTGGACTTCAAATCAAGTTAACTGAGCAGAATCTATGAGATTCAATCCTGTCCGGAATTCCACCTCCTATTTTCTTATTTTGGAAGGGACATCTTTTTTGGTAATAAAAGAGAAACGCCTAAGACTTAATAAAACCTCAGTGAAGATACACCACTCAGATTTGTTGACAACATAGCCTGTAACACAGTAGGAGGCTCCTGTAATATAGACAAGACAAGAAGGGCAATATTTGTTAGCCCATCCGCATGACAGTGTCGTCCGGAAAAGTATGAGCACAATCTCCAATTCACTCTTTCTGCGGCAGGCTTCTGAAAACACTAAAGAGAGAGATCTTGTTACCTTTTTGTTCAGAATCAAAGTTCTAAATCTCCTGAGGAAAACTGTCAAACAGCATGCATAACCTATGACATGTTTGAAATACCTTGCATTCGCAAAGCTAAGAATTAACTCCTGAATTTTCAAAGATCCAGAGGCATATGCTGTTCAAGCTTGGCAGGTGATATGTAAAGATTGGGCTATGTCTGAATACTTAAAGTACAACGCAAGATGGGTTCTATTAAGTCTCAAATAGAAGTTGAAATGCTTGAATGAAATTGATTTGTTATTTGGCCCTTGTAGGGTAATTCTACTGACTAGTCGACATGACACCATCATCTGTATATGCTGAGCTAATAATGTTTTAATTATATACAGTACCGTGCTAGTATTTGCAATCATTGCTAGTTTGAAAATTTCAAGTTAGTCGAGCAAGAATCTGGATTCTTTTGGTATAATTTTGTCAGTAAGAACCATTATGACCTTGTTGGTGCTCTGCCGTTCGAGGTATAGGTTGTTTATCATGATTGATTTATTGCTAATCATTCGCTCTCCTGAAACTCGTAATGGATCGCCACTGGCCAGAATCTATGAGATTTGGTCCTTTCTGGAACTCCACCTACTATTTTCTTGTTTGAGTATAGTGATCTTTTCATGAAATATTGCTCCAAATATCCATTAGGATTATAATTTCCATGAAGAATAGGAGTAAAAAATATCCAGTTAGGCATTTTCTTACTGTTATTTCCTGATGTTCTTTCCTTGTTTTGACATTCGAAACTGTAGGAGAAATTCAGAGTTGCAGTTTTGGTTTCACAAGCGGCACTTCAGTTTATCCATGGTAAGAATTAGTTAATAGGGATAGTATCTCATTGTGGAATTTCTTGCTTTAGATTTGACTCCCTGCTATGTGGCTACAGGTCTAAATTTGACCAGTGAGTACTCTGTGCCTGAAGAAGTTAGAGCTGCAGGTTTCCAAATTTGTCCTGATGAGTTAGGATCAATTGTTGAAGGCCATGATGTGAAGAAGTTGAAACTTCATGGTGGGGTACTAGGAATTGCAGAGAAGCTATCCACATCAATCACAAGTGGAATTGATACTTCTGAACACTGGATGAATAAAAGGAAAGAAATATATGGAGCTAATAAATTCGCTGAAAGCCCAGTTAGGGGATTTTGGGTTTTTGTGTGGGAAGCCCTTCAAGATACGACTCTCATGATACTGGCTGTTTGTGCCTTTGTTTCTCTTGTTGTTGGTGTAATAATGGAAGGATGGCCAAAAGGTGCTCATGATGGGCTTGGTATAGTTGCAAGCATTTTGCTTGTTGTGTTCGTTACTGCTACAAGTGATTATAAGCAATCTCTGCAGTTCAAAGATTTGGACAAAGAGAAGAAAAAAATTACAGTTCAGGTTACAAGAAACAAGGTTAGGCAGAAGCTCTCAATATATGATCTTCTCCCTGGTGATATTGTTCATCTTGCTATTGGAGATCAGGTACCGGCTGATGGGCTTTTTGTTTCAGGATTTTCTGTTTTGATAAATGAATCCAGCTTAACAGGAGAGAGTGAACCAGTTGATGTGAATGCAACAAACCCTTTTCTCCTTTCTGGGACAAAAGTTCAGGATGGATCATGCAAGATGCTTGTGACTACTGTTGGGATGAGGACCCAATGGGGTAAACTGATGGCTACACTTAGTGAAGGAG